CTCGCGGCGGAGCCTGGCAGGTGCTGCCGGTCCCCGGCAAAGCAAATTGCAGCTCCATGACAGCCCCTGCCAGCAAGCAGGGCTTTGCTCTCCAGCGCTGGTCTCCTGGAGCCCTGCAGTCCTGCGGAGAACCGTGGGATGGGGGAACACCCTTGGAAGACCACAACCGAGCAGGACCTGCGGCCTCTCTGGTCTCTTCTCCCAAGTAACCAGTGACAGGACGAGAGGCAATGGCCTCAAGTTGCATCAGGCAAGGTTTACATTAGATCTTTGGAAAAATTTCTTTACTGAAAGAGTGGTCAGGCATTGGACCAGGCTGCCCAGGGAGGTGGTGGAGTCCCCATTCCTGGAGGGGTTCAAAAACGTGTAGATGTGGCACTTCGGGACATGGTTTAGCAGGCATGGGCATGTTGGGTGGATGGTTGGACTTCATCTTAGACGTCTTTTCTGGCGTATGATTCTATGATACAACGTACTGCTATGTCCTCCCCAGGCTCTCAAATAGACCCTTGGGACCTGCCAGTCCTCAGAGGTGGCTGATGGGTCGGTGCAAATCCTTCCTTCAGAGCATCTGCCCTCAAGCCTGGTGCAACGGATGCTGCTCTCATGGTCCACAAGTCCCCACATCCTGCCTTCTAAAGCCTCTGGTACAAACAAATGCCACATGTGCCACATAACATCCCCAAACTCAGCAACTCACAGGGTGCCTTGCTGCCATTGAGCACCCCAGCTTCAAGTCTGGGTTTTTCTTTCCATCCCAAATGGCTGGGTCCCACAGCTCGTTAGCGATGCTTATTTTCCAACCCGTGGGAAGCTGAGCGTCCTGACCGACCCATTTTCTGCCAGCACTCCCGACCATGGCAGATCTCCAGTCAAAGGTGGGCGAGTGGCACAGATCCATCTCTGGAAATGTTCTCCAAATGCTCTGGCAGGGTGACTTCCACTCCAGCCAACGCTGCTTCACACCGTCCCACCGCAGCCCCTCCACTGTGACCATCCCCCTACCCTACATTGCTTTGGCCAAAAAAATCGCTTTTATTGTCCCAACTAGGGGACAGATACAGATGTTCTGCGGGAATCGGCCGCAGACGCTCAATGTCCCAAGCACTGGCTAAGCCCAGGAGGACGAGCCCGTCGCTCCCACCCATCGCCCGGCGCAAGGAGCTCTCCCAAGAGCACGGCCGACGGCGCAGTCAGCCGTCTCCTGCACGCGGCCACATCCCCTCCTCTGGCAGCAACTCGTTAAGGCCAGAGAGGTCAGACAGCTTGGAAAAGTCCCAGGGGAAGGGAAAAATGCGTTTCCTCCCGATCTGCTCCAATGAGTAGCAACTCAACTGGTACTAAACCGGGTTAGGAGGACAGTAGGTGAGGAGCTGTTGGCCTGCATTGGAGGAATTAATTATTAGGAAGTGCTAATTATCTTCTAATCACACACAGTGCAGGGGCTTTCAAGACATGGGATGAGCCAGGTCAGGAGGCAGCGATGCTCTGTGGGATCCAAAGCCTTTCGCCTCTGCTGCATCCCCTGCTTTGGACGGAATTCGCCTCCCGGGAAAGGGATGTCAAGTCTGTCGGGAACGGAAGGAGGGTGCCACTGGTGGGACTTCACGGCTCCATCATCTCCAGTCGCTGGTGCCTCAGTGGGAGGCAACCCCCAGGAGTGGTCTCCAAGGTTTAGGGATGGGAGTGAGGATCTGGGCAATTCCCTCCTCTCCTCCGGGCTGTCGCAGTCGGTCCCCGTGG